TAGTGCCCTTCATATTTTACTTCTTAGAAATATACAATGTTTTTATTTGATATTTTTACATCCACTTAGCAGATGAAGCTTCTAGTAGCTTGCCTAAGATGAAAAGCTAATCTGTGACTGAGTTGAGATTTGAGCCCAGTCCTGTTTGACTCCAAATGATAGCATTTTGCTCCTATAAAGGATGCTGCTGCCAAATACCTTAGATAACTCTCTCTCCTGTCCTGTCCTGTCCTTTTCTCCTGCTCCTTCTCCTCCTCCTCCTCTTCCTCCTTCTCCTTTCACCTCACTTTCCTCCTCCTCCAAAATCTCCTCCTCTTCTCTTTTCCTTTTCCTCCTCCTCTCCATTCCTTCCTTCCTTCTTAAATTAGGAAAAAACACCTAGTTTGTGCTACATGAAGCAAAATAGCAGAAGGTAATCGCCCTAGGTAAAGATTAGCTGCTCTTGTCAATTTAATTCAGCTCTCTCCAAAGCAACCTCCCTCCTATTTTTCCCCTTTTCTCTCCCTCTCTCTTTCCCTCTCCCTCTCTTCCTCTCTTTTCCTTTTCCTCCTTCCCTCCATTCCTTCCTTCCTTCTTAAATTAGGAAAAAACACCTAGTTTGTGCTACATGAAGCAAAATAGCAGAAGGTCATGGTTTAATAATAAAGAAGATACAGGACAGAGCAGATACAGCACTGGTTGACAAGTCTGATATGGTCAAAGTTGTTCAGGAAACTATCCTAACTCAGATGAGAGCAATTCTGAGAGTAAAAGTTTAAAAGCAAAGCATAGAAATTTGTGTTTTAGTTCATTGACAACATGTATATTTGTGTACATTTATAAACACATTAATCATGGAAAACTGTTCTGCCTGTTCCTAGTCTGTTTTCAATGCAGATATTATGTATGTCATTTTAAAATTAGTTTCAAATGGTTTGCACTAGTGTTTGTATTGTGAAAAAGGTATGAAGTATTAAAAACTCTGTGTATCACAATCTTTCTATACTAGAAAGTGAAATAATTTAGAGTGCTTCCAGTAATAGCGCTCTAAGATACAGAAAATAATGTGGCTAGATTGATTTGTAGATTTTCTTGTCAGAAGTTACTTGTGACTTGAACATTACTTGCCTGATAAATAATTTTTCATATGTATTATTTCTGGATCATTAAGAGCAATTTTGCGTGAGCTAAGATACATTTAGGGCTTCGAAGTCAGTCACTACATCTTTCATGTCAGGCTATTTTCTTATCATTCAAGGCATCAAAGGTAAAGCCTGAAAGGAAGCACAAGGCATGAACAGGCCTGCAGGGCAGAGGGAGCGGCTGCAGCCTCCGCAGGTCCTCAGACGCAGGACGTGCTCCCTGGGGGGTGTGCGCGGCTCCCTTCCTGTATTCTTGTGTGTGTGTACTGTGTTTCGATGTTTTCTCGTCGTCATAGTGCAGATTTTCATGTTTTGGAAGAGAACCACCACAAGAAGTGAGAATACGGAAGAAAGCAAATGGAGCCCCTTTCTGTCTGCACACTGATAGGAAAATGCAGTGTGGAGAGAGCTTGCTTATGTTTTGTCTTTAGAATAGTGTTCAGATGTGTAAAATGGTGTATTTAGAACAAAAGCTCTTGTCCTTTACAGGAGAAAGCTGGTGATTGTGATGAAAGGTCAGATGAACAGGTGGCTGATCACTGATTCAGAGGAAGACATCTCATTGCTGATTTAATTTTATTACACTTGTTTTATGATTTAATTCATAATTCCTTTCAGTCTTAAGGTGTTAGACGTGAGAGATCAATGCACAAAATACTAATGAGTGTGCCTTTGAAATACTTCCTGATCCAAGCCATCTTTAGTGACTTGAAAAACCAGATCGTTACTCCCCTTCTGAGAAGAGCTGGTCAGTGAACAAGTGCTTGGCCACTCGGGAGGCTGAGGCAGGCGATCACAGGTCAAGAACGCCTGAGCAGTTCAGTGCGGGGTGGGTGGAGAGCCCTTGCTTAGCACTAGGAGGTTTGGATTCAGGGTCCAGTACTGGCCCCCTACATCCCATCCTCCCGAAAAGGAGGGAGAGACATCCAACAACTGTTTTATAAATGGAGTAATGCTTAAAGCTTCATTCTGAAATTCCTAAATCTAATTTGCATATGTGAAAATAAGTGTCTGACTCCTAACAGTTCTTCAGTATTGTTTTCTGGAAATCAGCCTTATGGGGAAAATCTCCACTATTTCATCTTACGGTAAATACAGTTTAGAGCCCATAGACAGCTAGTCACCACCCCTCCCCTGCCCCAAGCTTAATTAAAATTTTTTTTACTGTCGATAGAACAAAGTGTCAACTTTCTAAATCCTGCTTTGTTGATCGATACTAGGGTTTATATCCATCATGTTCTCTAAAGTTTGTAGTTTTTCAGCAGTGTTAAAAACAACTGGTTAACTTGGAACAATTTTTTTGTGTTAAAATTAGCTTAAGATTTTACAGCTTTTAAACAACTCCTGTGGTACAACTTTAAGCTTTTTTGGAAAAAATGTGTTGGTTCTTTTATAAGAAAATTACGCACACTGTGATGTTTTAAAGGCAAGGCCACTTTAAACTGTACATGTTGGGCCACACTGACATGGGACATGGCCTCTCTGTACTTGTCATTTACCGTGAGTTCATTTCTGTTGTTGCTGTATGCCTGAGGAAGCGTATGGTGCAGAGGAGATCCATGCATAGCTACATGGGATGGAATGCTTATTTGTAATTTGTCATGAAGTCAGAAGAGTAAAGATATGTAAAAACTAAAGATTCTGATGTTAAAACAATTTTTTTTCCTAAGGGAAGAAGCTCCTTTTTTTAAAAAAGCCACGCTTCAATGAATATTCCTGAAACATCTGTTGCAAAAGAAGTTTGAGGAATTTTTTTCCTGGCCTAAAAATTTGAGGAAGAATTTGCCTCCGTTTGTAACAAGTGTGTTCTTAATTTTGCTTCCTACTGCCCCTGTGTTCTAACTGCATGTAACTCTCACCTGAGTTCCTTCTCTTGTTCCATTTCTTTTTTTTTTTATTTATTATTTGAGAGAGAGAGAGAGAGAGAGAGAGGCCCGCTCAGCCCACCAGGGGGCGGGGCCGGCTGGCATGTGGTGCTGGGGGATTGAACCGTGGTCCCTGATGCCTTGCCAAGCTTGTTCTAA